GCTGTGCGGCGCGCTGGTGTGCGCTGGGGCGCTGGCGTGCGCTGGCGGGCGCTGGCAGCGTGCACAGGGGCCCGGTAGACAGGTAGGGTTTCACATAGGACCGACCGTTTTCAAAATTTACTCGACCGATTTAAATAAAATTTTGACACATTAAAATAGACTCAGAATGTCACATAATCACGGGGTTTTCAGATCCAACTCTTCCATTTAACACAATCAAACAATTTTTACAAAAATACGATTGAAATCTGAATTTTCTAGTTCACCGAGCAATTCTTTGAATTTTTAAGCCAAACTTGGACACAACACACATTTCAGCAAATCAATAACTCTCACCAAAATTCACAGAAAAATACCAAGTACTTGATTTTTAATGATTTTTCCAAGTTTCTGGTCAGATCTTTAAATTGGCAATTAACATAGCTACAGATCTTAGGTTAACTTGAAATTTTTACACGGCATATAACATCATCAAAGGGTTGTACAGTTCAAATTTCACAGCAATCGGACGGGTATAAAATTTTAAATGATTTTTCGAAGATTCAGCAACACTATACGATTCAAAAATGCAAAACAATTAAATCAATCAATAATTTCGTCTAAGGCCTTCATCATAAGGCCAAAGACTTCAAGTGTTCCATAGATCCACAGCACATAGCAAAATTTAACAAGAGATCCCATTCGAATAACATAATCAATTAAAATACGAGCAAAACCGATCATATAATGAACTTAAACATAAGATCTCCCCACAAGGCTTTATTATCAAGCATATAACTACTAAAATAAAGAGAAATATCAGCCTTGTACCATTCTCGGGATAAATCGCACGAGAGTGAGGTTGAAGGGCCGTGGGGGATCGCGAGCGTGCGGGGAAACGGGCCTGCGGGACGCTGGCGGCTTGCGCGGGCTGCCGGGCGACTCTCGAGCTTCTGCTGGGCACCGAGTGGTGACGGGAGGGCGCGGACTGAGGCCTGGAGCGTACGAACGGCCGGGGCTCGCGTTCGGGCCTGACCTTGCGGGACGGGCGAGGGCTCGCGTGGCCTGGGCGCGACGGCGATGGGGCACGGCAATAAAAATTATCGAGAGGGAGGGAGAGGGCGAGAGCGATCGGGGAGGGAGGGAGAAGGATGGGTGGCGGCTGAAAAAAAATGAGGAGAGGGGGAGAGGATCACATCATATATATAGCTAGGTATTGTGACTTGCCTACCAAGTCACTTACCATAACAAGCCACAACACAAAAGGAAGGGGAGGATAAAGGGGGATTAGGCGCGGCTCACGGGCGCGGATGCGCGGCTCACGGCGCGGGGTCTCGGGTTCGAACAAGCTCGGTCGGACGAAAAATAATATTACAATAATATAAATTAAAATATTTTAAAATAGTGATTAATAATTAAAATAAAATACCACAATTATAATATATATGATAAATACAATTAGGCACATAAAATCATTTAAGCATTTAGACAATTAATTACCAATAATAATAGCAGCCACAATTAATGATAAAAATAATAATAATAACAATAATCCAAATTATTCATAAACGAACGGGGCGTCACACTTCATATCCTATCCCATCTAGAAGTCCTATTCCTCCTAACCTTCATTACATTCTAGAAGACTTCATAGTCTCCTAACCCTAGGTAATATTCTAGAAGGAATATTCATCTCCTAATGGAATCTTAATTATGAAATATAATTAGTTCATAATTCATAATCTTGGAATTAAATAATAAAACATTCCACTAGAGTAATATTATTGCTCTCCCCATTTAGCTCTGAATTACAATTAACTCATCTTTACTGATTAAATTTATTAATCTAATTGATCGATTTATCTCCCCATGTTTAAGATATAACGTTCGTTGATTAATTAAAGTACTGACAAAATAATTAATCAACTTCTTATTCATTTCCGAAATTAGTACCACTCTGATCCTTAATCATTATGTCGGAACACATCCGCTTGCAGGGCTTGACATAATATTCATTCCTGAGCTCATTTCGGGGACGTCTTGAACAAAGCACACTGGGGCACAGTGATCGTAAATAATTTATAATAGTAGATCAAATAAACACACTTATTTACTAAAATATCGAGTATGTCATCTAGCAAAATTGGAATCACCCTTGGTAAATCAAATAAATAAGTAATGAATACATATGCCCATTTTATATTATCTTACAGCTTAAGAGTACGCATCAATTACTGAAGGTCTAGATTACAACAACGATCAAAGAGTCTCATAATCTTATCCTTCCGTGGTCCTGTTCAACACTTAACATAAGTGCTAGTGTAATTCTCCAGTCAAAAACCAAATGAATCAAGAATACACTACAGTCTTTGTCCAAGAGGGGTCTCACTGCCTGTCTAGACTGGGAACGAATAATTTCAGTCTTATAAGGACCGATAGGTTATCTTTTTGTTCGAAACACTTCGAACCACACTATCTCAATGTAAGACAAGGAGTATGATTGCATAAATAAATAAACTGCAAGCATATGTACTTTGACCGAAACATGATGGCCAGATCAAAATGGAATTGATAGAATCTGCAAAACCGAGCATTTACAGCATACCTCTAACAATCTTCCACTTATGCTTAATAAGCTCATGGCTATTGCTAACCATGATTTTCTTTCAATCTTAATTCTCAAGGAACTGTTGTCCTTTCTGCCATACATCCGACTCCCAATCCTTTAACATGGCCATCATCCGCTTTTGCTGGAAAGCTAATCTTAAAAGGATTCACCTGGTTGTCTACCGATGTAACTAGGCAACAAACATCCATCCTGTCGCAATCCTTTGCAACAGCCGTACTTGCTCTATGTGCCACTTGTTTTATGAACTAGTGATACCTCTATGTCTGTAACTGCACCAACTGTTATCAAATCAAATTGTGACCTGACTTGGCTAGACAAGGTTTCACATATTTAGTTCAATGGCGAATCCAATCTCTACGTCGCTCGCCTTTTAGGAAGAGATGTACTGAGTTCATAGTAGAATCAGTCAACGTATTACCGCTTGACATTCCTCTAATCTGCTTGGCTCCCATAAGTGAACACAAACCATAAAGTGGTTTTTACTTGTTGTTCATGTTTGATTAGAAATCAGAATCTTTTATAATCCATAGGTTGCTTATGATTCATTAGGTAACCCTACATGTTATCCTTAGCCCTTTTATGGCGTTTGATCATATGTTCTACCATAAAACATTGCTTCCATCAAAGATTACTTCGATATTTACTAACTATACAATAATTATCAGGCCTCATCTATTGCATATACTAGGCTTCCTATTGCCATGCATAAGGACTGCCAGATATCATGCAAAAATAG